CTTTTTTCTCCCCTTCCTTTCCTTCACTCTATTAATTTTTATCTAAATACAAGCTTGGAGTGTCTTTTGATAAGCTTTCTCACACTTCCAACAGAACAATAATTTCTTTATGAACAATTTAATTTAGTATGGCATCCCATTGAGTTAGACATATCTAAAAAAATAAATTTTTTTAAATATTAATTTCAAAACTTTAACTATAAATCTAATTATAAGATAATGCTTACTTATAAATTAAAAGATTAATGAGTATTACCTTGTTTTAAAAAAATGAGGTAAAAAATATCCTTAAAATATATTATTTTAATAAAATATCAAAAAAAATTAAAATAATCTTATTTTTACTTTAAAAATTAAGATATTTTAATTTTTTTAATTTTTAAATAAAATTTAATAAAAAAATAATACAATTTAAAAACATTTTTCATTCTAATTTTTTATAATATAAACTAATATATGGACCGAGTCTTCAAACCCAATAATTCATTCTCAAATCTTAAGTATTTAAATATAATTGATAAAAAATTTGACCCTTACTAATATCTTAAAAAAAATATCCTCTTATTTAAAATAAAAAAAATTAATATACAATTTTCCGTGCGAATCAATCTTACCCTTCGAGATATCCTTCGTCTTTTTGTTGTATTGTTTGTGGCTTGTGTCGAAAAGTAAAGCCTGGCTTTTTGTTTTATTTTTTATTTTTTATTTTTTTTGGTTAAATGCTAATTTTGGTCCCTCAACTTTATAGAGTTGCACATTTTTGGTCCCTCAACAAAATTTTGCACTTTTTTGATCCCCTAACTCTAGAAACTGCACAATTTTAATCTTTCCATCAGTTAAGTGACACTTGACAATTAAATATTCCAGAATGACACTTTTTAATGACATGGCAATGACAACTCATACAATTAACTTACGTGGAGTATGCCAAGTCAAACTTAATTGTTTTTCTTAATCTTTTTCAATTATTTAAATATAAAATTATTAAAATGCCCTTAATCTATTCTTCTTTCCATCGTTCTCCTCTATGCTCTATTTGTTCTCCTTCCCACCACCACCGTTTTCAGCCATTATTCCTTTGGTTGTCACTGTTTCTCTTCTCCCCTCCCCTCATCCCCTTCTTGGCCATGACTAGGTTCGTGAGGAACCCAGAGACGATCTAGGTTCATCGCAAACCCAGTTCTGGGTTCGTCATGAACTCAGAAGGGTTCGTCACGAACCTAAATGATTTGGGTTTGCCTCTTTCATTCTCTTTCGTTCAGTACTCCACAATTAAAAGCAACATAAAATTTCAGAAGAAATGCCACTGTTTCCTCCATAAATCTACTTTACCTTATTTCTATCCTCTGTGAAAAGAATGTGTGAATCACCAAGAATGAGAGAGTTAGCATACATCTTCCTGCAGAAACAAGGAATTAATAATGAACATTGTGGTGAATCTGAAGGTTTGAAAAGCGATAAGAAAACAAACCTAAATGAATTTGCCAGTAAGAGGAAATGTGCTAGGGGCAACATAGCTCTCAAATTATTGAGCTACATATTGTTGTACTCCTTTAGCTAATGTAGATGAAGACAACCTGGAAAACAATAAAATTTGACCAATCACATGACACAGTTTAGGGGTTTGTGAAGAAAATATGAAGTTCCAAACATCAAGATGACAAATCACGTTTACCTGAGATATTGTCCTGCTTCAAACTGGACTCTAACATAAATATATTCAAAAAATTTTACATAATCTATGGCAATAAAGACATGGGTTCGCGACGAACCCAGAAGAGAGCTAGGTTCACACCGAACCCAGAGCAGACCTGGGTTCGCGACGAACCCAGAGCAAATCTGGGTTCCTCATGAACCCAGTCATGGCCAAGCTGATGAGGGAGAAGGGGATGAGGGGGAATGGGAGGAAAAATGGCTGGAAATGGTGGCGGTGGCAAGGTGAACAGAGAAAGCATAGAGGAGAACCATGGTAAGAAGAATAAATTAAGGGCATTTTAGTAATTTAATATTTAAAGAATTAAAAAAAATTTAAAAAAAAAACAATTAAGTCTGACTTGGCATACTCTATGTAAGCTAATTGTATGAGTTGTCATTGCCATATCATTAAAAAGTGTCATTCTGGAATATTTAACTGTCAGGTGTTACTTAACTGACAGAATGATTAAAATTGTACAGTTTTTAGATTTAGGGGATAAAAAAAGTGCAAAATTTTGTTCAGGGACCAAAAATATGCATTTCATAAAGTTGAGAGACTAAATTTAGCATTTAACCTTTTTTTTAAATGGCTAAATTATCTCTGACCAAAAAAACAAAGGAAAAGAAAAAAGAACGTAACACGTACACAACCATCCTTCTAGAATTCTACCAAAAAGGAAAAACCAGTCTTCTAGAAGGGTTCAATTTTTCCATTTTATATGCTAAAAAAATTTGCTTTTCAGGTATATTTCTAGAAGATTTGATATAACTTACCTGGAAAAGCAAAATTCATCCATCCAACCCATAAAATTGTTGCAAATTGCCAAAGCATTATTTCCAGATCATCTCTAACCAACATAGGTCTCTTTCCAAATCATCTCTAACAAGGTTGTTTTGTAGAGGTACATGAAAATTCACTCTAAGACACTTTAACAGTAAATATTAAAAAAAAAAATGAAAGATAAATTTTGAGCATTACAAATAAAAAATTAAGAGCATTTATCAAATACTTGCTTTACCATATTCTATTATTTGCCTTTGACAATTATATAGTTACAATATCATATAAAATTATAAAATTATAATTTTGATAAATAAATAAATATAATATTAATTTTTTTTTGAACAAGTTGTCAAGGGATGGGTTTCGGAGGGAATGCACCATAAGCTGGCAGGATGTTAGTTGGCCCGAAGGGTTAGGTGCAAATATAATATTAAATTTTGATTTTAAAAAGAAACAATAATAAAATAACATGTTAGGTTTGTAATCTTATAATGTTTATGGTAGATTCTAATTATACTTTTTTGATCTACCAAGTTTCAAAAATTAATAACTTTCTTTCTATTTTTTTCCATTAAAAAAAA